AAAAAAAATTTTTTTTTTCAACGTTTATTTATTTTTGGGACAGAGAGAGACAGAGCATGAACAGGGGAGGGGCAGAGAGAGAGGGAGACACAGAATCGGAAACAGGCTCCAGGCTCTGAGCCATCAGCCCAGAGCCCGACGCGGGGCTCGAACTCACGGACCGCGAGATCGTGACCTGGCTGAAGTCGGACACTTAACCGACTGCGCCACCCAGGCGCCCCAAGGTCAGCAGGTTCTTTTAACTTGGTCGGCAGTTACAGTTGATTAATAAATCTTCTGGGTGCCAAGATGGTCTATAGGGGAGGGATGTTCGGAGAAATGTGTCCTCCTCAGCAGTGGCCAGTGCAGTGTTCCTGTCCAGAGCAATGGATTCTCGTCTACAGTAAAAATACATCTACATTGCCACCCAGACTGAATGTGAAAACGATACTCCTAACGTGTGCTTTACTGTGAAATTCTGTAATTTTATCCTATGCTATTTCTTTTTTTAAAAATGCTGGTCACACACAGCCCACTTAATTCTTCCATGAACTGCTAATGGATGGCAGCACATGGTTTCAAATAAAAAAAACTCATCCAAGAGATAGGTTTATCACTCGAAGAGCTGGGCTCAGGCCACGGCCAGCTTAAGCGTGTGTTGTGCTCTTCGAGGAGAGTTCTTGGTTTATAGCTAAAGCTGCCATTAGGAGGGAGGCATTTTCTCTAATTTTTTATCTTCCCACCTCTTTCCAAGTTCCCTTTTCCCCTTCCAGAGACTCTAGGAAGCCATTATAACCTTGTTTTCTTTACAGGGTAGGAGAAGAAAGAATGTAGTGGATAGAAATGTACCTGTAAACATATTCCTTTAACTTCTGTGTTATGTGTCCTTCTGGTAATGGCATTTTTAAAAAGAAAGATGGTGTTTGTGGGAGAAATGCATACAATCAATTCAGGAATATTCTTTTCGTAGAAATCAATGTGAAGTGAAGAAGCATATGAGTTCTCAGAGGGCATATATCTCCTTTCATTATAGCATGTTTATACTTTAATGATACTTGTTTCTGAGCATTTTCTCTAATATTTTTCAAATTCCTTTAATGTAAATGAATGGGGTAGCATACCATGGAGTTCATTTGACTTTTATCAAAAGATGTTATTACACAAAGCCTTTGTCTCATGATTAGTGATTTGGGGCAGCTTTTAAAGCACTAGTCTTACTGCCACTAGTTATTGAAGGCTTGCATGATATTATGTGTTATAAAAATACTTTATAAGTAACCACAAGTGTATAAAACAACAGGACAATATACACCCCAAATTATTTGCGGAAATCTCAAGCCTGATAAATTCTAGGATAAGTGACATGATTCTGAGAAGGGATGGCTAATATTTTTGTTGACCAACCCATGTGGCAGGGGAGTAAACACAGTTTTAGATTTGTGTTCCCTGATGATTTTTTTGCAGAATCTATATCAACAAAAAAGTAACTCCACTGTAGTTTTGCAAGCCTCGATCACAGAACCTCATATTCAGTTGAGTTTAATTGCAAGCGGCTCACCATTTGCGAAGATGCCATTACCTCAGAAGAACTGATTTCCAAAGCTAGACAGACTCTTGTGTCGGAGTTGATGAGATGGGATCTTTTACTTGCGTGTACAGCAGAAAGCCCTTTGATCTAGGCAGCCATATGCACCTGCTACGGGTGAGTGCATGTCAGTCAGTAGGTGGCAGACTTTGCCATCAGATCAGTGTCTTCCGAGCTGAACGGTAAATGTCGTGTGGATGGCCCTGGGTGTGACTGGAGGTGCTGCGCTCAGTTCTGAGTAGACGAATCTTGTCCCAGCTTTTGCCAAGTCTGGGCTTCCCCTCTCACGGTCCTTTATGGGAAAAGTGTCTGGGGCACTGTGGAAAGAGTACTATCTTTGCCATCAGAGTGAGTTTGACTTTGGCTCTCTTTCTTAGGTACCACTGGGCACATTATTGAATTTCACCGAGTCTCAGTTTTTCTGTTAAAAACAACAAGAAAAAAAAAACCCGAGGGATAACAGTACCAAATTTGTGGGATGGCTGCAAGGAATGCTATGATGTCTGTAAAATGCTGACCACGGTCCTCATTGCATAATGGGCATTTTGTAAATAATACCTATTCTGTTATTATTCACTCTCCTGAATAAACTCTGTGTAGAAGGCTGCATGTTGAAATTAATTTTAAGGGAGACTCTGGACTGGTTCCTCAGATGATCCCTTCCTTTTGGTGCTTTTTTATATGTTCAGCAAGTAATGTATTTGGCTTTTATGAGGCAGGATCAGGTGGAAGAGATAGGACCTTACTGATGAGTTTGGAGATGAGATGAAGACTCAGGAAAGAAATGGTGAAGCACGGAATGCTATGTCTGTGATTCTGGCATGTTCCAGATCAGGTGCAAAAGAGCAAGAGCTTTGACTGAAAGCCTGGTGTGGGGAGTGACACAGGTGTCAAGGGAGCCACTGTGTTCCCCAGTAGTACAAGGATTTGAGTCCACACAAAGGACAACAGCCATCTCACTGTCCCCGGCACTGGTCAGTACAACCCCGCAGTGTGCTTGTTCTGTTTTGAATTCTGTTGTTTTAAGAGAAACATTGACAGACGGGAGCACAAGTGGAGGAGCATGACCAGGAAACTGTGCTGTACAAGGAACAATGTTGCTGCTTATCCTGGAGGTGTGAGCACTGCCTTCCAATGTCCAGTGTTTGGAAGTCCATCATTTGTAAGCCAGCGTATTGTATGGAATGGACGTTGGATAAAAATTTATCGAACAAATGAGGAATAAGCTTCTATAGGGTAGATCTAAGGACAGCTATAGTGTAGATCTTTAGCATAGAGCTAAAGGATCTAAAGAAGGAAAACCGGTTAGTCCAAGTTCCAGGAAGGCAGATTTCACTTGAAGAGCTGGGCTCCATATTGAGAGACTTGAACTGCAAAGAGTCACAAGCTAACTGGAGAGGCTGAGCGGTCTATAAATAACTATAAGGTCTAAGTGCCACAGAACAGGCATTTTAGACTCAGGGAAGGGAAAGAATCCTTTCGCTGTAGGGAATCGGGAAAGACCTGCAAGGGGAGGGAGAATAAAGTTAGGCTTGGATGTCCTAAAAGTGTGTTTCTGGAAGTATATGGGGGCAGTGGGGAGCATTTGAGGTTAATGAACCACACAAAGCAAGGGCATGGAAGCAAGGAACATTTGGCTTTCCTATGAGGGGTTCGATGCATTCATTTTACTTAAAGAGGATCCAGTGATTCTCCTGGGATTTGTTTTGAAAGTTATTCAGAACAGGAGGCCAAAGTTCAGTCACTTCAATATGCAGAATCATGTGATTCAACTGAATGTATTTTTGAGAATGTGTTGTGTTTTGATCAAGATTTTGTGGAAAGAAAACAGGATGTGATTCTTTAAAGGCCTTGACCTATGTGCTCTTTTTCAGTGTTGTTAATCCAATCTAAGTAAGCTTCATTTGTTAGAATTTCATTTCACACAACACTTCTAGATCCTATGTATTTCTTAAAGCCAGGCCCTTCTGCAGACAAAGTGATAACCTAACTTTTTTTTTTCCTCTAAATGTTTATTTATTTATTTTGAGAGACAGAGAAAGAACAAGCAGGGGAGGGGCAGAGAGAGAGGGGAGAGAGAATTTCAATCAGGCTCCTTGTTGTCAGTGCCAAGCCTGATGTGGGGCTTGAACTCATGAACCGTGAAGTCATGGCCTGAGCCAAAATCAAGAGTTGGGCACTCAACTCACTGAGCCGCCCAGGTGCTCCCAAACTGATAAACTAATAAACCAACAAGATTTGTTCCTGCCTACCTGAACCGGATGTGGTTGTGCTAGTTTTTGTGGGTCACAGCAGTGCTTCTTAAACTCTGTTGTGCATGTGGATCCCCTGAGGATCTTGTTAAAATCCAGAGTCTGGTTCTGCAGGTCTGGGGTGAAGTCTGAAGTGACGCCTTTCTCGCAAACTCCCAGGTAAAGCCACTGCTGTGAGTCTATGGACCACACTTTGAATAGCAAGGGTTTAGAGTCTATTTTATGGCTGCCTTTTCCAGTCCAAAGTTTGGCACAAGACAGCCTGATAATACCTTGGAAGGCAGATGTGGTTACTGTGTTGGTAATGACTTAAACTGGGCAAGGAGAATTGGTTTACTACTGGTATACTGGCTTATTACGTACTGCACCTTCATTTGTCTTTCCCTGGAGCAAAGTTTTACTTTTTATACAAAGAATTTGTACTGCTTCAAAAACATTTCCAAGTGGGCAATATTTATCCTTGAAATACTTTTTATCTTAATGTGTCTATAGTACCTTCCTTTCCCAAAATAGTACTCGATTTGTAATTAATTTGCAAAGAGCAGTTTTTTTAATTTCTAAATCGCTACAGCCTAATACAGTGACAGGCATTAATTAAACTTGCCATTAGTAAATTTTTGCAAGCATTTATCTAATGTATAAGGAAATATTTTTCATTGGAATCTCTGAATCAAATGGTTTGTTTCTTTGAATGATTTTGTTAAAATGACTGATAAGTATTCTTTTAGATGCTTACAGGAGAGCCATGGTAACACCATTAGAGACGAACTTATTTGGATCTTGAATGTTTTTCAGTTCTCAGGATGTTCCTTATATATTGCAACCATTCCTGTCAATAATTTTTGTATGAGTTTCAGCTAATTAGAAGGGATTAATTATTAGCCAATTATGAGCAAATCCCTGTGGGATTAGAACATAGGATGGGGTCAGGTTTGGGGGCAGGGATGTGTATACATAATGGAACGTGAGGTTAGAATGCAGAGAGATTCTTAGGCACCGATGATGAGATTTGCTTATGTCATAATTATGTTATTCTTAGTGGAAGTTGATACATTCCTTAACGTGGTCTTTACATCTAGCAGGCACCCCTTTCTATTTTGCTTTCATTCTCAGCCTAATAGCCTTCCTCTACTTTTTCTACAAGACTTGGGCAACTGATCCAGGCTTCACTAAAGCTTCTGAAGAAGAAAGGAAAACGGTGAGCTTTCTTTGTAATGTTACTTTTTTTTTTTTTTTTTTTTTAATAGGAAGGTTGTAGCAATGTTCATGTTTCTCATGGCTGCATCTCCGGGACCTTGGCACGTAATAGATGCAGCATAAATCAACAAAGTTGAGATTTCTCCACTGTCATTCCTTTTCATTTATTTATGGAAAAGTTTTAAAAAGTATTTTGTATTTCCTCTTAAAGTCAGACCCAAGACTTTTCAAATGTAATTTCTGTTAGCGAACACGATCTGGATTTCTTTATAGGAACACTTAGATAATGATCATTTAGCTTAAATTCCCCCATTTGATACATGGCGAGTAACCAGGCAGGGACCAGGGGGAGCCCTCCTTATTGCCAAGAGATGCTCCTTCTCTTCCTAAGATGTGAAGGTGTCAGAGGACATGCGTGTCTTCTTTCACTTTGAATATTTAGAATTGTCGTTGTCGGTGTTACCTATAGGCAATTCCTGGAAGACTGAGCCTGTGGTGCTTATCGCCATCGGTTACAACGTATACTGATGGGTTTTGTTTGCTTTTTATGAATGTATCCGTGTATGTTTAGTTTTCTCTAGCAGATTATAACTAGATGATTGCCATTCATGGAGAGAATGGGGAGGTGTAATATGTGTGCCTTCTAATTTATTGGCTGTGGTTGGAAATGCAGCCTTGAAAAGTCACATTATTTTCAGGCACAGAATGATGTGGTGGCAGGTATTCCAGATTGCTTTCCTGGCCACCTCAGTTTGGAGCGAGAGCTGTGACAATGGTGTATAACCGTGCATTTGTCCGTTCCCCAATAAAACATAATTGTAAGGTCAAATTTCGTGCCTTTCAGAATATCATCACCCTTGCAGAGACTGGCTGTCTGGACTTCAGAACATTTTGTACCTCATGCCTTGTGAGTCTTTTTTTTTTTTTTTTTTTTTTTTTTTTTCAAATAATTTTATCCCATAGTGAGAAAGCATATTCTTGGTAACATTTCTCACGTAAGCATTTGTTAAATCTCCCTGGTATATTTGCACACCTTCGTTTTTACCAGTTTTGAATTTTGTATTACTATCAGAATAGTTTTCTGCCTTGAGCATATGAAGGAATGATGTTTACAGTTTCTCCAAGATGTCTGTGGTTAGATCTCTCTGTGAATGATCCATAGTGTGTTTTGATTGCTTTTTCCTGCCATGAAGGATATATTGGAACTAACTTCAAGTCAGAGGCTCATGATGACCCTAGAAACCACTTAGTGAAACCTCTCATTGCAATTGAGGAATCAAAGCCTAGAGGGAAGAAGTAACTTCCCTCAAATTATTGGCAGAGCCAGAAATGTAACTCGGGTTTCCTTTTCCCTTTTTCTTAATGGTGCTGCCTTATTTCCCTTTCATCAGTGTGAATAGGCTCTGGAATTCAAAACCCCTTTAGTGTTGGCCTACTCAAAATGTATATGTGGAAGTAAATATTAATAAGGCATTCCAGAGCCTCTCTGTCAATTGATGATCTATTTAGGATTATTTGTACCCATGCCTTTATGATTTAGGAGTAAGAGTTTGCTTGTGGTTTGTTACTACTTTAAGACACTGAGTTTTGCTTAGACCTGTCTTCATTGCCCACTTAGATAAGGAAGCCATTAAGGTCACTTCATTGCCACGTGTGTAACTCCTGTGTCGCTCGATACGATCAGCATTGTCTGTGGACTGGACGGTGCATAGGTGAGAGATTGAATTTCTTAGTTAACACTATGAAGTTAAGTATATATTTGGCTATATGTGTGATTAATAGAAAAAATAGAAGGGCATCTCAGGGGTTCGTTTTGTAGTTCTTCTTTGTCAGAGAATCCTCTCTACGGTGTTCACACGTTTGGAAAACTTGATGTTGATAATAATTAATGTCATTTGTATAGTATTTTAGAGTTTATAAAGCAGTTTTGAATATAGTTTCCTGTCTGATCATCAGGGCACACCTATGAGGTTGGCATTACTGTCTCCATTTTAGAGGTGAAAAAATATGAAAGGCAAATTATTTGCTTGAGATTACTTTAGTAGTATTGGTCTTCTACACCAAATAACCAGGTTCTTACCACATTTTGTGGCTTCTCTCTCTCATGTACTTCTCCACTTGGCTCCTTCAAAGCTCAGGTAGGAGCTTGAACCAGAGATGGTGTGGAGTATTCCTTGTCCTGGCCGGTAGCCCTGAGTTTCCTCTGAGTGGTCACTGTAAAAGCCAGGGGATTATTATGAGGAACTTCAGAGGAACTATGGTCATTTGTCTCCAGGAGAGGATATGCTTTTATAATCTTGAACAAAAGGCTGCCTCAGTGAGTCAGGTTTCTTTAGTGCATTTTGATGTTCTCTACTGTTCCTAGAGAACAGCGAAGAGACAATTCCTAGGGTCCCAAGCTTCATGGACCCCATCCCACCGTAAAGATGGGATGATTAGCATTAAGGCAGGCAGCTGTGAATGGAAGTGGGAAAGCAACAGTAGTGAGCCCCTATATTTTTATTATGCTGCATTTAACGTAGTGGATCATCTTGTTTGGCTGCCAGGCCTATGAAGCAGACAGAAGAGAGATTGTCCCCATGTTAAAAGCAAGAACACTGATCAGAGAGGTTAAATGACTTCCCTGTGGTCACACAACTAGTCACCCGTGGACCTAGGTCTCCTCATTGCACTGGGCATTGCTCCTGCTGCTGGGCTTTGCTGTCTTCGGAGAAAGTGGGGACGTGGTGGTACTTTGGTGCCATTAGCATCAGAGTGCTCACAACTCCAGTGTCAAGAGAGCAGCAGAAACAAGCAGCATAGGCGAGAGAGGCTGCAGGCTGCCCCTCTTTTTCTGTGTGTGGGTGCCTGCAGCACATCTATTTAGTGCTGCTCTTCAGATTCATTTTCTCTGTTCCCCTGATCAAGTGAATCCCTGATGTTCAGAAATTGTACTTCTTAAATTTGTTACGTGCAAGGAGCATAGGGTATGATTTGCCTAAAGTCCTACCTGTTCCCCTTCCTCCAGTGCAGTATAGGCCACCCTAGAGCTGCATATGCTTAGTAAATCTTGCTCTGTTCAAAAAAGGTATCTTCTCTTAGGTAAGCAGCAGATAAATATTAGTTCATTTAACATGAACAGTTGACCATGACATATCAGAGCCGTTTGGTTTTGGTTTACTGGTATTTAAATGCAAAGTACTAGCTTATTTACTTTTTTACTTTGGTGGAAGCTTTTGACAGGAAAGTGGTTAGTAAGGTCTTGATCTGGAAAATCATTGTAAGCAAAAGTATTACATGTGTTTTTTCTTTTTGCTGTAGGTTTCGGCAACCATCATTATTACATATTCTTCTTATTTTTCCTTTCCATTGTTTGTGATTGGATTATATATGAATCTTTCATCTGTAAGTATAAATTTTTCTTACAGCAAGCTCATGCACCCATACTCACACATACTTTTCTTGGTAAATTCTTGAATGGCACATTCTGGCTGGGTGACTATGAACCACACCCCTACTAAAAACGAAACGGCTGCCTCTAAGACTCTCAGCATTGGGAAAGCTGCAAGGAAGACTTGAAGAGGTTAGTTGTCAGCACCTGGGAAGAGATTGTATTCTAAAGTGACCTTGATAAATTTGAGAAGTGGTCAGAATATAAAGTCTTGTAAGGCAGGTGCAGATTTATCACCCAGTGAAGTGAGGAAAAATCAGCGGCTCAGGCACAAAGCGAGGGAAGTGATAAGTAGATAAAATAGGAAAAAGAAAAGGTTGGTGCTGGACAGGTTGAAGGAAGGCGGAGGTGGTCACCATAGTGAAGGAACACAACTCTTGATAAATGTCAAGTCACAGCTTAGAGCTAATGGGAGAGCGAATAGTCATTGAAAGTTTGGGAATAATGACCTGGAAGGGAACATTAGGCCACTTATTCTGCATGCCTGAGACAGAAAAATAACTTCTCAGTAGCTGTGTGAACAGGCGTGTGGGGGACTTGAGGACGGAGTGACACCCAGCTGTTCCAAGCTGATAGACTAAGAAGAACGGGGTTAACATTGAAGCAGGAAGGATTTGGGTTAGCTCTTAACAGTTGCACGGCTGTGCTTCTCAAACCTGGGAGTGGTTTACCTAACTGGGAAAGCGTATAGTGCTTGTGGTTTATTTATTTTGGCTTTCCTTGTTTCGCTGTTTATTGTTTATTTTGAAGACTTTGGGAGAATGTGGCTTCACTATAAATCCATTTCCTCCCACCTTCCTGTTACGTTCATGCTCAGGTCTTAGATTCCAACAGTGGAATACTAGTTTGCTGCTTGTGCTAAAATGCAGAATGATCCAGGAAGATGTTAGCAACATTTTTTTCCACTTTAGTTTCTTTTTCCCTTGGCATCCTAAGCACCGCCTCTCCCTGCCTTCCCCCGGCCTCTGCTCCAGCTTTTTTTAGTTTAAATTTTGCTTAGTCTTTGAAAAAGAATTCCTTCTACTCTGCCCTCTAGCCTCCCGGTTACCCTCCCCAGAAACATCAAGTTTTGGGTTGTTTGGCATTTCATTTTTAGAGATTATTAATTAATGTCTGTGTGACATGTTGTGTTTTGGGGTTTTTTGCCCTGCCCTAGGCATGGAGAGGGCTTCAGTTAGATACCTTGTCAGCCCCTTTCTCGTCTGACACCTTGGGTGTCTGTGATCAGTAGGGAAAGCTTCTGTAGTTCAGTGTAAGTGCCACCCTCTCAAATGGACCTAATAGTCGGAAGGTTGTGATCCCTGGTACCATTTCTTATCAAAGGCCATAAGTAATCCTGAGCATTGAAATTTAAAAAACCTCTTAGGTTATGTCCTGTGGTGTAAGAAGTAAAAGATTTCGGGGCGCCTGGGTGGCGCAGTTGGTTAAGCGTCCGACTTCAGCCAGGTCATGATCTCGCGGTCCGTGAGTTAGAGCCCCGCGTCGGGCTCTGGGCTGATGGCTCAGAGCCTGGAGCCTGTTTCCGATTCTGTGTCTGCCTCTCTCTCTGCCCCTCCCCCGTTCATGCTCTGTCTCTCTCTGTCCCAAAAATAAATAAACGTTGGAAAAAAAAAGAAGTAAAAGATTTCTTGGCAGTGCATCTTTCTACTGAAAGAACTGCCCTTTTAATGCCTAACAATAAAGCATGTTCCTGGAAGACCTTTTTAGGCTGGCCCGTGGACCAACTTGTCCCTTGGACGTGATCCTATTGGGAGAGAAGCCAGGTTTTACACCACTCTGTCTCTCCTGCTTCTCTCTTCACTAAAAATAGTCCCCTTTGTTTGGTGTCTGTGTCCAGCATAAGACTGTATTGATAAGGACAGAAGTAATTTTCCATCACTTTCCTTCTCTCCACTTTGCTTTCGTATTCTGTGCATTGGCTCTTCCCTCTTTGTTTCTATTCTCTGGCTCTGAACCAATTTTTGTATTATATTTTGTCTGTTAGAAATGGTCCCACTTTATATTCACCTCCGACCATGTAGACTAGTCAACGTATTTTGTTAGTTTTATCCCATTTATATTCTGGCACCGAATGAGGACATCATGTCATTTATCATTACTTCACAGACAGGAAAAATGAACTTGTGCCTCATTTTTCTAACAAGGCCTCCCCGCCATCCCACCTTCTTTGTTTGGCATTAACACTCCTGATGCGACGGCCCTGATGCACACGAGCCTCGCGTGAGCCAGTTACAGCTACTTCTGGCTCCGTGTAGCCTCCATCCGTTCTGTCCTTTGTGAGGTCTGTTTTCAGGATGGACACTCAGAAAGGGTCAGCATCCTGCAAGTTACAGGGAGAAAGATTTTAGATCATGGTTAGAAAGAACACTGTAGCTGGCAGAGCTATCTAAAAATGAAAATGATCAGCTTGGTACAGTATGAGTCCCCTATCATTAGCCAGTGACCACCTGATAAGAATGTATTATTAGCGCATATTAAAGTTGTATATCACAGAAGATAATGTACGTGGCCATTTGTGGCCATTATCTTTGACATTAAATCTGCAATCAATCCTATGAAAATTCTAGTTGGGGGTCATGCCGTGTGATCAAAAAATTTCCCAGAAGAGAGTAGAAATCTGTAAGCTGGAAAAAGTAGGTATTCTTTCCCACTCAGCAGCTGTTTCCTGTACCTGCCGTTGGGAATTATAGTCTTTTTTGTCATATCAGGTGCACGAGAGGCATCTTTGTCTGCCGTCCTAATGAGAAGCTCTCAAGAGAGTGTAATTTGCCTTAACTTGTTGCCTTGATGGTTACTCTGTGGTGATTACTCTTAGATTGCTTCTGACGTATAGTCATGAAAGATGGTTGGGAATCAAATAAGGCTCAAAATGGGGGAAAAAAAGACTTTTTTCTTTTAAGACTAAAATGGACAGACAGGTGATAGTAAAGTCAGGGACTCATTTTCTTTCTGTCCCAGGAGCTCTTCAGTGCTGCTTTGGGAAACTGTCTGAAACTACTTATCAAATTGTCAGAGGCATTTATGAAACCTCAAGGTGAAAATTTACAGAATTCTTATTTCAAAAATAATTTGCCCTTTATAAACTGTCGTGAGGCCTACAGAAGCCATTGGCTTCGCAAGACCTTGAGGATTTGTTCCCTTGTTTCTGCTGCTTCCTACCTTCATTCTCCTTAGTGCTGCTCTTAGCTGCATAGCTTAGGGAGGTCACAAAGGCCATAGTGAAGTCCTGTCTTTTAATTGGCATATAAATAGGTGTTCCTGGAGAGAAATTGAGCCGTGCCTATGTGAATCTTTTTCCCTCCTATATGAATCTTTTTCCCTTTACTCTTTTCCTAGGGGTGTCTGTCTCATGAATTCCCTTACCTGGACTTTCTCCCTCTCTACAGGATAAATTATGGTGCTGGTGCAGAAGTACACCCAATAACTGCATGCTGTTAGGTTGTGTTCCCATGGTTATCTGGGTGCTTACAGGATTTCTTGCGCCTACAACAACAGCCAAGTGATCTGAACCCTTAATAAGAGTTTATTCAGTGCTATAATAGACTCCTGTGTATCATGGACAAAATAAAGAATTTTCTAAGACAGACATTTATCAAATCCAGTCATTCTCTGTCATCAAGTCCTTAAACAATTAACTTTGGGCCGGTTCATTTTATGCCGAAAATGGTGGTTTTAGTGGTGGTCTTATGGACCTTTTTTGCTTTTATTGCTTTGCTGCCAGCTACCAATGCAGTGTTACCATATAGCTTTAATGAGTAATGAGGTGCCAGTTTTTCACCTTGGCTAGTTAAGTTGGCACTTGGAAGAAAAATTCTTTTTTTCACCATGTTTTAGATTTTTAAATTATTTTTAAATTTTTTTTAAAGTTTATTTGTTTATTTTCAGAGAGAGCATGAGCAGGGGTGGGGCAGAGAGAGAGGGAGAGAGAATCCCAAGCAGGCTCTGCAGTGTCAGCATGGAGCTCGACGCAGGGCCCAACCCACGAACCGTGAGATTATGGACTGAGCCAAAATCAAGAGTCGGACGCTTAACCGACGGAGCCATCCAAGTACCCCCAGAAGATAAATCCTTAAAGCTGGGTTCTATTCTGTGCTCTCATGTCTTACGTCTCTTCTCCCTGAAAAGAAGTGCAGCGATTTTATCTTCTTGTACAATAATCACTGGTTTGTTGCCTTTTTAAATAATGAGTTTCTTTTTTGTGAATCCACAGATTGGTCAAATCATTGTGCCACGACATTCAGAGAAGATGGACTGTGGACCTACCTCAATCAGATTGTGGCCTGTTCCCCTTGGGTTTTATATATCTTCATGCTAGCAACTTTCCACTTCTCGTGGTCAACATTTTTATTATTAAATCAGCTCTTTCAGGTATTAATTTCTCTTCTGTAAAGCCTTTGAGTAAAATTTCCAGTACACTGTAATAAGGTAGAAAGACTTGAATTTTAACTCAGAAGGCTTTTGGGTCCTAGTTCCACCTCTGTCGCTTACTCTCTGGGTCTAGGCATGTCATTTGACTCTTGGATTTCCAGTTCCTTGTCTGTAAAATGGGGTTGATAATGCTACTCTCACAGGATCGTTTAAAGGTTAGAATAATGAGTTGTTAACTTGTCCGTAGGGATGATCTAATCTGATCTTTTTACTTTACGGATAGATTTACAGAGAGCTGACTTGCTCAGGGTCACCCAGTAAGTGGCAAAATCAGAACCGGAAACTTAGGTCCACTGACCGTCCTGTTCAAAGGCTTTTTTCATCATACAGTTAAATCATACAGTATGTGAAAACATGATATAAAATATAAAAGCATTGTGCAGGTGTGAGATGATTGTCTTCTCTCACTTTTTCCAACCCTGTTTGTTGTCCTGATTATTATGCAGCACTTAAATGGGTAGAAGTGGGGAGGAAATGCAAGATCCCACACTAACCAGTGTAACCATGGTAATTACACTTCTAGGGAAGGTCATGGCCATTAGAAAGTTCACTCTCCAGGGCAGTAGTAGCCACATTGAGCTTCCGAAGAAGCTACTGTCCCTTCCCTGCTGCCTTCCTTCCCCTATGAGCATAACCTAATTCTCATTGTTGCTGTGGCCCGTGCTTGTGGAATGGATGGCCGTGGTCAGTCTGAGCCAATTACTGTGAGACCTCACATAATTAGAGCATTACTCCTTAAAAGTGCATTCCACGGGGCTCCTGGGTGGCTCAGTCGGTTGAGCGTCTGACTTCAGCTCAGGTCACGATCTCGCAGTCCGTGAGTTCGAGCCCCGCGTCGGGCTCTGGGCTGATGGCTCGGAGCCTGGAGCCTGCTTCGGATTCTGTGTCTCCCTCTGTCTCTGCCCCTCGCCCGTTCATGCTCTGTCTCTCTCTGTCTCAAAAATAAATAAATGTTAAAAAAAAAAAAATTAAAAAAAAAGTGCATTCCACTTTAACAGGGTAGTAACCAGTTCTACAATAATAGTACAAAGTGATAAAGACAGACAAAGGAAAAAAGTGCCAAGGAAAGGAATTAAGCTGGTAACACCCACTGAACGGAGGCTTCTGAACATTCATCTTAATCTTCTGCCCCTCTGGCATCGATAGACTCAGGCAGTAAGAATGAGTATTAGCATCAGTGATTATTAATATTAACTACTATCTCGTATGATCCCTAGTATTTATCTGTATCTTACATATTCCAGAGCACTTTCCTATCTATTCCCCGACAGACGTTTGAGGTATAGATTGTGCCAAAGTAGTGTCTCCATTCTAAAGGTGAGAAAACTAAGCCTATGAGATGTCGAGTGCCCAGTTTTGTCCATAAGGGTGGTGAGAGGTGGAAGCAGATGTAGAACCTAAGGTTTGAGACATGGATTCTAATTCTCTTTCTTCTTTTCTGGAGGCTTAGGACAAGGACAGTATATGTAAGACTATAATATCAATTTTTTAAAGAAACCTTAATTTTGTTAATACTTTCTAAGGCAAGGAAAATGAACTCAAAGTTTTGGGTAGTTTTCAAATACAGCAATTTAATGTTGTTTTCTTAAAAAAAAATTTTTTTTTTAATGTTTATTTATTTTTGAAGGAGAGAGAGACAGAGTGTGAGCAGGGGAGGGACAGAGGGAGAGGGAGACATAGAATCCGAAGCAGGCTCCAGGCTCCGAGCTGTCAGCCCAGAGCCCGACATGAGACTCGAACTCACAAACCACGAGATCATGACCTGAGCTGAAGTCGGACTTAACCAACTGAGTCACCCAGGCGCCCCCTTGTAATGTTGTTTTCTTAATAAACCAATTCTGTTGTTCGAAGCCTTTCATTTGATGACTGCTCTGGTGAGTCATGGCTTTGACTATAGCAAGTCAAACTGAGCATGTAGTCTGTGGTAAGGACCATGAACTTTATTCTCACGCTGACTGAGGTATCTGTCTCAGTTCTGCCACTCTCTAAGCTGTGTGACTTTGGACCAGTTACTTTACCTCCAGGAGCCTCTGCACTGGGTATTTTAAATATATGATGTCAAGTCCTTAAGCAATCTGATGAGGGAGGATGGTGTGATAATCTCTGTTTTACAGATAAGGAGCTTGATGTTTGAGGTATTTTCAGGATTAAGTGGGGGTAACTCAGTAATAGTTGTTTTAATGATTTGGGAGGGTCTTTTTTTTTTTAATGTTTATTTTGAGACAGAGTATGTGAGTGGGGGAGGGGTAGAATCTGCTCTCAAGCAGAACCCAATGTGGGGCTCGATCCCACAAACCATGAGATCATGACCTGAGCTGAAGGCCACTTAACCAGCTGAGCCACCCAGGCACCCGGATGATTTGGGAGGTTTTTTTTTTTTTTTTTTTTTTTTTTTTAGTTTATTCATTTATTTTGAGGCAGAGAGTGTGAGCAGAGTAGGGGCAGAAGACAGGGAGAGGGAGAATCTCAAGCAGACTTCACTCTGTCACTGCAGAGCTCATGTGGGGCTCAAATTCACGAAACCATGGGATTATGACCTGAGCTGAAATCAGGAATCAGACACAACCGACTGAGCCACCCAGGTGCTCCATATTTGGGAGTATTTAAGTTACCTGAATTCTTACCTTTCCCCAAATTGTGGATTTAAATGTTCTTCACTTCAGTACATTTAAATGTTCTTTAACTTTTTCATTTGGCCCTTTCTAAAGAACTACTAAGAAGCATACACAAAGTGAGAATTGCAGTAATGCTGATCACATATTGTTTTATTCATCTAAAAGTTGCATGCTGAACGTGTTGAGAACCTAAACAAGGTGGTAAGCCCTGGCTTAAATCACTAAAACAATTATTTCATGACTCTGCTTTTTTGAAGGTTAATAAAAATCAGTCAAAAGGATAAATGCTCAGGGGTGCCTGGCTGGCTCAGTCAGCAGAGTGTGTGACTCATAATTTCGGGGTCATGAGTTTGAGCCCCGCATTGGGTGTAGAGATTACTTAAAAATAAATAAATAAACAACTCAGCTCGTAGATTTACATAGGAGAGTCTCATTTAGAGCTGCTGAGCTGTTGTTATCCTCACCATGATCCTTGCTTAGAGGGCGAGGTGACACTGTATTTGGGGGAGTACTGAATGTTTACCTCTGTCCTGTGATGCACGGAGAGAAACGGAACCTTGATGTAGCGGTATTTTTCATGTACCTTCCAAACTTCTTTTGCAGATTGCTTTCCTGGGCCTGACTTCCCACGAGAAAACCAGCCTGTTGAAGCAGAGCAGGCATATGAAACAGACATTGTCCCTCAGGAGGACCCCATACAAGTAAGTCCCATCTGTTTTGACCACTGAGTCCTGTGGAGGATGCTAGCCTAACCATTGGTTTCCCAGTCTGCTGCCACCACTCAGGCCATGCTGCACTCTAACTTGCTATCTGATGGAGTTGAACCTCTTATTTCTTGGAAGCCTTAGTGACTGACAGGAGGTGAGTGGTGAGGTCATGAGCCCCAGGGTGGTAAGAATTTGGGACTTAGTCTGCTGGACTTGGCACAAATAGCTAAGTGACTTTGAAGTTTTGCCAACGTGGGGAATCTCTTTAGTCAAGCCACATGGTCACAGGATTGCATGTTGCTGGCGTGAAGTCAGTGTGAGATAACCGAGCACGTGGCTGAGAATTCCAGCCACCAGGCTGTCTGCAGAAAGCATTAGATTGTGAACTTTGCCAAGATTTTCAACCTACCTTTCTATCACCAGTGATTCTTTTAGCCCTGTGTTTAATGTGCCCATCCGCGTCAGGGAGAAACTAGTGTTTCAGGTTTGGGGTATGTTTTCCCAAGAGCATCGGTTGTATAAAACCTGTCCTCAGTAGAAAATGAGAGTGTTTGTAGGAAGCCTGTCATCTTACGATATGAACAGTCAGGCTTTGAAGCTTATCTCCCTGTCATATATATCGGGGTCTTGGAAGCTGGGAGTGCTGCAGAGGTGACCCTGAGCCCTCTGGGGATTTAACGCCCACCGCATATCTCATGAGCAGTCTATTTTAAAGCACACTTGTGGTACGAGATGAAACTGTTAGGCTGTTAGACAAGGAAATCAGAGCCTGGGATATGACTATGATCTGTGTTTAGAGAGGAGAGCAGTTGACTAAATTGAGAAGAGACGGCTTCGGTGGTGGAAGGTGGACAGTAGTGTTAGGCTTGTGACGATTGTCTCAGACTGGCAATGATCGTAAAGTCCTTTCTCAGGAGTTTAACCAGAGAGATAAATATTTACTCCACTGAAGAATGGAAGCCTTTGTGACAGAGGTGGAATTTTCAGCTGAGCCTTGAAAGATGTGTGGTGGGGCATGATGGAGAAGGACAGAAGGGCATTTCAAGCCCCAGAGAAGAGTCTGGAAGAAGGGCCTGAGATGAGAGAGCTGGGGCGTGTTTGGAACTGCTGAGTGATGGCAATGTGGGCCGGAGGACCTAACGGCAAAGCCTTAGAGCCACTGTGAATCTAGCTTCCAAAAACCTGCCCAGATTGAAGATTTGTCTTGTCTGTCTTACCCTGAGTTGCTTTCCCTCACCAACTAGCTCTGGAGCTGGTCTTCTAGGAGTGGAGATGGTCCTGTCCTGATCACTGTCATAGCAGCGGCAGATGCACAGCCATCCTCAGGCACAGATGTATTTTAGTGTATAGGGTTTGGGTTTTGGCAAGGTTTTTGGAAGACCACACCGTGTCCGATAGGTAAGATTAATTGGAAGGAGCTCCCTCCCTTTGGTTGGAACTGCCATCTTCGAGTAATTCGCCAAAATGACCAGCAACAAGGGAAGGAGGGGAGGCCCCCGCTGCATTCTCTCTAGGCCTTTTAGACAACACGGAGTTGCTGTTCTGGCCACATGCTTGTGAATCTGTCAGAAAGGTGATATTGTGGACATCAAGGGAACGGGCTGCAAAGGTTCCCATGGCACAACCGCAGGAGTCTACGGTGTCACCCGGTGTGCTGTTGGCAGTGTCATAAACCCAGAAGTTGAGGGAAGATTCTTGCCAAGAGAACTAACGTATGTAGTGAGCATATCAAGCACTCTAAGAGCCGAGGCAGCTCGTGTGAAGCATGTGCAGGAAAATGATCAGAAGAAGGAAGCCAAGGAGAAAGGTTCTTGAATTCAGTGGAAACGCCAGCCTGCCCCACCCAGAGAAGCACACTTAGTGAGAACCAGTGGAAAGGAGCCCGAGCTCCTCAGAGTTCATGGGATGATAGGTATAAAAAAGGACAAAAGACTTCTGGACTATTAAAAAAAAAAAAAAAAAGATTAATTGGAAAGAACTGAGACAGGGTCAGGGCCATATTTAACTTAGAAAGTTTAAGGAAAAAAAAAACACAAACATCTGTTGACTGTACTGTTGCTGGCCTGCCTGGCCTCTGAAATAATCAAAATCTGAATCAGGGCAGTGGGAATGGAAAGAAGGAAACTTCTTGATGGCAGCCATCATTCCAGTGAGTGGGGCGCTCAGAAGGAAATTAAGTTCCTGGGCAGGAGTCAGAGAATCTCACAATAGGGATTCAGGTCCAGAGATGGAACTGGGCATCAATTTTAATGTCCCGTAAGCCAGGGAACGGTCTGATTCACCTCTGGATTCCTGCAGGATCTTCAAAGGATGTCGTATATTGTAAATTCTCAGTGAATATTTATGGTCTGGATGAATGTTTGTCAAAGGTAAACAGGAAAAGTAGTAAGATGTGTTCTCTTCCTTCCTTGGCAGCCTTGGGTTCACGCAGAACCTTGCAGATTTCTTTCAGTGTGGCTGCTTTGGCTTGGTGAAGCCCTGTGCCGTAGATTGGACGTCCCAATACAGCATGGTCTTCCACCCAGCTAAGGAGAAAGTCCTTCGCTCAGTATGAAGAAAAGCGACCCCAGACTCTCACTCTGATCTGTGTTCATGTTGATGCCCTGTGGTCTGCAAGTGAAGTGAAGATTAGGAGTTCACCGAAGCCCAAAGGAAAACACAGGTGGTCTGTAAAGCTATTTAGTAAAAACACAAGTTCTCCAGAAAGGCACTACGCTTTTAGATTTAGCAAGATGGACTGTTCCTGAACAATCTTGGCAGACATCTAAAAACGCTTTTATATGTTTCACAAGAAAATACAACTTACTTTTTTTTTTTTTGAGATAATATTCACCAATTATGGATAAAATGTCGTATTTTCGAATACTTTATTGGTTGTTTCAAAATAGTACTATTCTTTAAGCTTGTAATTTTTGATAAATTATTTGTTTGTTTTATCTATAAATATGTAAAAAATATCTAAATAGAAGTACCTGTTTTGCTTTCACACTTAATAAATTTTTTTTTTTTTTGTAGTTGAGACTTCATTTCTGACACTTAACTTTCAGAATCTTAAATTGAGAAAAGGTGTATGTAGGGCATAAAGAAACTGATTCACAATTCCAGGACCGAGTTGAGCTCCCTGTTAACACCAGTAAGCAAGATTTAATTTTCCATCTTACTTAGAAAATGGAACAGATGAGGTTTTCAAGATTAATTACTGTTTTTACTTAGTACCCTCAAAATATTGGACTGATGTGATTGTAAGTGCTAATTTCCCTTGTTCTGGAGGAAAAACTAATTCCACTTTAACTCTTGGTATTGTATATAAATGCCCCTGGACATGGCACCTTCCTACTGAAAACCCTTCCTTAAGGCTCCCCTCGCTCTTGGGGTAAAGGCTAAACTTCTCATCATGACCTACAAGGCCTTGAATAATATAACCTTATTTTGTTTCCCAGTCTCACTCTGGACCACGCTTTGTACTCTAGCCACATTGACCTTTCAATTTTTCAAGGATCCTTTCTCCTTTCTTCTACAGAGCACCGAGCCTTTGCAGATAAGGAAACTAAAGCCTAAAGAAGTTTGTATCTTCTCCAAGGTCACTTAGATACCAAGTGGGGTAGCCACTCTAGAGCCTAGAGTCACCTTGAATATTCTCAGACACGTTGTGTGTGTTCAATAAATGTTTCAATTTATTGAATGAAGGGTTTTTAAGCAGGGTATGATGTGATCATAATTGTTTGATCTGATTCTCAGTTGGGGGACAGAAGGACTTTCTCAAGCTATAGCCTTTCCCTTTCTCTTCTAACCCTACCAAGTATATATTCTCAAATTGTGGCCCACACACCATTTAACCAGAATTCTAGGGATGGAGCAGGGGCTTACTTGTTTAAAATTCAAATTCCTCGCCTCACACCTTCCAAACCACTATATGCCAGTGCTTCCAAGTGATACATGGCATGGAAAGCACATTTCATTAATTTTTAAATTATTCCACAGGTATTGATTGAGCACCATGATAGGTCTTTCAGGCCATAAAACATTTAATTGGGCATACTAATCACAGAGCTTGCAATCTAGAGGGAAAGCTAAGATGAATGAAACTATAAGATAACGTAGAAGATATTAAAAGCCGTAAGAAAGGTACAAATAAAATAGAGTTTAGAGGTTGGAGAGAGCCTCAGTAGATGTGATAAGGGAAGTGTCTATGGACGATAAGGCATTGCAAAGGGCCTTTCAATGGTACTTAGTTTGGAAATCCGGAGTTGGAAGTGAAAGGCATTCTCATGTAGAGAACCCTCCGAATGCAGATAATGGGAGAGTCTGAAGTATAGTTAGAACCATGGCAGCTGGGTCTATAGGGTGTTTCAAATGGGGCACTCGGTTAGTAAATCGAAGTGGTTGATTGGGACGAGGTCACCAGGGGCCTTGAATGTTAAGCCAAGGAGCTGTAAGGTTTAAGTGAGCAACAGGAGCTGTTTCCTTACCTCGTCAATAAAAAGTCCTTGAAAATGTTGTGGCTGGCTGGTATCTTCAATTCCTGTCTCCCCTTCCTCCTCTTAACCCACGTAAGCAGTCAGGCTTTCACCCCTGCCCTCCATGGGAACTGCTTAGCAGCATTTGACGGTGGCCAGTCCGTCTTCCCAAATACACTTTCCTCACGCGGCCTCCACGAGACAGCGCCCCTGAGTTTCCTTTTAACCCCACTGGTTGCTCTCGAGATCCCCCAGTCTCCTTTGCTGTTTTCCTTCCCCTACCATTGAATGTTGGAATGTCTCAGTGGCTAGTTCTTGAACTTCTTGTCCTTCATCTAAACTTACTTCTCCTTCCTTGACAATCTCGTCCAGTTGTGTGATTGTGTATACGGTCTGTGTACCAAAATGCCCCAGACTTTAAACTCTGGTTCAGACTTCTTCTCCAACTCTATCCACTTAAATAAATGTTTACTAGACATCCTAACATGTCCAAAATTGAAATTGAACTTCTAATCTCCACTCTATCCTCACCCTCACAAATAAAAAATAAAGAATTAAATAAAACATAGTAAATTTAAAGATAAAATAGGGAAGCCCAGATGGCTCATTCGCTTAGGCGTCCAACTTTGGCTCAGGTCATGATCTCACAGTTCATGGGTTCAAGCCCCATGTCAGGCTCTGTGCTGACAGCTCAGAGCCTGGAGCCTGCTTTAGATCCTGTGTCTCCCTCTCTCTCTCTGCCCCTCCCCAGCTCATTCTCTCTCTCTCTCTCTCTCTCTCTCAGAAACAAACATTAAAAACATTTTTTTGAAGATAAAATAAATAAAAAGTAAACAACCCTGTTCCCTACCCCTTAGTCTTCCCTATATCAGCTGTTTGGAAACTCCATCCTTTCAATTACTCAACATCAAAACTTTAGAATCTTTTCTTGATGATTCTTTTTCTCTCGTGATATGCCAGATTGAGATTTCTTTGAGAAATCCTGTGGACTCCATCTTGAAAATACATCCAGAATTGAGTGCTTCTGACTACCATTGCTGCTGTCGTTCTGAGTTACCATCACCTCTTGCCTGGGTTACTGCAGCCTTCTTATTTGGTCTCCCTGCTTCCACCCTTACCCTGCCACAAGCAGCCAGAGTGATCCTTATAAAAGACCGACTGAATCCTATTGTTTCTCTGCCTAGAACCTTCTAGTGACTCTTGAGCTCACCAGAGGAAGAGCCAAAGCCCTGACAGTGGCCTGCAAGGCCCGACAGGATCTGACCACTTGTGCTTTCCCTCTTGCTGATGCCTGTACACCTGCTAGGCATGCTTCCACCTCAAGCCTTTCCTTGCTGTGCCCTGCCTAGAATGCTCTTTCCCCAGATATCCACAGGGTGAAATGCCTTTCCTCTGAGCTTTTTTCCAGATGTCAACTTCTCGATGAGGCCCATGCTCACCAACATCTAGAAAGTTGGAATAGCCTTTCCTTGAACTATTCGTCCTCTTCACCCTACTCTGCATTTTTGACCTAGCACTTACTGCCTTTTAACATACTATGTAATTTAATATGTCTGTTGCATTACGGTCTCCTTCCCCAACCCAATAGGATAGCAGGTCCCTGAGGGATTTTTGTTTTGTTCACTGATGTATCCCAGGTACCTAGAATATTGCCTACTACATAGTATGTATTCAGTAACTACTTGAATTAATCTGTTACATGAGCTTGTTGAATGAATTGAAGGGATTTTAAGGAGGACATGATGTGATCGGAGTTGTGTTTGAGGACTGAATCTCAACTGGGGGACAGAAGGATATTTTTAAGTTCTGTCTTCCTGTCTGTTCTCACCAACCCCTGCCAAGTAAGTATTCTTAAATTGTGGTCCACAGACCATTTGCATCAGAATAACGGGCCTGGGGTGGTGATGGGAGTGGTGTCCAGGGATCACTTGTTTAAAATTCAAATTCCTCTTCTCAGACCCTCCAGAGTCTGACCCCCTACCTCCAGAGTCAGACCCCCTACCCTCAGTTCTCTGAGGAGTGAGTCTTAGAATCTGAATTTGTAACACGTTCCCCAAATGATTCTCACATGCACATGCTACAGTTTGAGAATCATTTGCTTAAGGCCTCTTACCCCTACCGTCTGATTGTGACTTTTTCCTCAGCTACGTATTGGTGTGAAAGTTTAAAAAAATAAAAAGTTTGAGAGTCAGTGTTTTATAGCTAGGCACCCCGGGTTTGAATCCTGGGTATGCCAACTGTAAGTGACTTTTGCCTCTGAACAAATGACTTCCCTATATAATGCTTCTGTTTCCTCGTTTGTATCATGTGGATAACAATAGTATATACTCCCAAATGTTGTTAAGAGGATTAAATGTCTTAATAACATATAAAGCGCTCAGAATTATACCTGGCTCAATAAATGCTAATAATTTAGAAATATTTGGGAAATTGGTTAGAGGTAAGGAAATGTGCCAAATTCACCTTTCTATACTGTGTTGTGTGTTCTGGGACTAGCATTCTAAAAACTACAATTTCCTTGTCAGCTCATTTTCCATTAAGTTCTGCAGATAGGGGAGGAGGAAGGGAGAAGAGACTTAACTCCACTTTTCTTGCCAGCTGTTCCTCTCAGTGTTGTCCCTACAATGGCCTTGAACCCTGATGAAGACAGTTGGAATCCGTGTCTAGCTTTTCTCCCGCAGTTCCCCAGCCACCTCCATCGTCTTCCCTTAGAAGCCCCAGCAGGAACCAGGCAGGGCTCTCTGCTCAGAGGTCTGACTCCTAACCCTGGGAAACCTGTCCTCGAGGGATCTAAATTAGGGCGCCCCAATCTCTTCTCTTTGTTTTCCCCAGCCCCACACTTCATGGCTGCTTCCTGCAGTTATCACCTCTGTGCTAAGTCAGGGTGCTCCTCTTTACTTTCTGAAAAAGATTAGCACGTGCTTAATCAATTCCCTCTATTATTTTCTCCCTGTTGAAGCAAAACAGAACACACTATTTTTCTGTGTTTCTGACTGGACTCCGACGGATATAGAATGTTAGAGATAAGCTTTTGATAATGGTCCAGGCAAGATGCAATGAAGGCCCAGATTACTGATTGAATGTGAGGGGAAGAGAAGGGAGAGTCAAAGATGACTTTGAACCCAGTGAATTGAGAGGGTGACAGTGTTCTTCTGAGAAGTAAGGAAAACTGTGGGGAGACTAGGTGATGAGTTCGGTGGGTGGGGCCTATTGAGTTTAAGGTATTGCAGGCTATGCAGCAGAAGAGTCTAGAAGGCAGCTGTAAAGAGACCAGGGCATGAATGAGGGTCATGAGCACGGATGGATGAGGTTGACACAGGAGAGAGGTAGAAAATTGAGATGAAAATGGAAAAGGGAGTTGCCCTCCTGAAATGGGAAGATTGGTTCTAAAAAGAGACCAAAGATGACAACCAGTGCGAACAAACAAAATGTGAGGGAGAGAGAGACAGAGAGAGACAGAGAAACCTGTCCTCGAGGCATCTAAATTAGGGGATCCATCTCTTTGTCTCCCCAGCCCCACACATGGCTGCTTCCTGCATTTATCACCTCTGTGCTAAGGGCAGGAGCACAGTCTTCCAGACCATGGATTTAGGGAGCTGGAGAAGAGGAGGAGGGCATGGGGGAGGAGGCTGGATATAGGAGGATAATCACGATAGCACAGTGGCATAGAATTCAAGAAGAATTCATTTCAGAGAGGGAGGAGTCACTTGTCGGGAGCTGAGGAGAGGTTGAGAAGAACAACTGAGGGAAGACGGGGTCTGTGGTCTGGAGGTTATCGGTGGGCTCGGTGGAGTAGTGGCAGCCGGCAGTGGGGTGGGCAGCAAGGAGGGCACCTGGGAGCCAGCTGCTCAGGCCGTAAGACTAAATGGAACGGAGTCTTACAGTTTGGCTTTGAAAGGAGAAGGGAGAAGGCAGGTTTGGGCTTGTTTTATTTGTCGGGGCCACGGGGACATGACTATTATGCTGTGATGCCCTAACTTCATTCCTCTTTCCAAGTATCTGTATATTCACATCGGAGACCGTGCATTTGAATCATTTCCACAACTGCTATGCAAAATCCTGATGATGCTCCCTGTGACTTAACAGTCTGGCTGGACACTGAACAGGAGAAGTGGAATATCTTGGCTATAGCACATCCAGTATCATAGCTGGGAGTATTATAGTCACGGGAGTTAATGGGATAATAACCACCCCCGCCCCCGCCAATATCTCACTGGCTTAACACCACATAAGGTTTATTTCCCCCTCTTGTTACAGTCCATTTAGCTGTTCGAAGATGCTCTTCCATGCAGGGACCCGAGCT